CCTCCAAAGAAAAGAATAAATCTCATACTGTGATTCTTCCCTACATTCAGTTGTACAACAATTACTTATCCCTGATTACTGAAACCTGATGATCTTTTGAACCAAATTGCTCTCCCTTCTAGGCTTAAAAAAATTCAAATTCCACTGATACTAGAGGAATGAAAGAAACATAACTAAAATCCGTTAATTGACTGTGTAGTGTTATTCTCCTTCCCACTTACAGTACCATATATTTAATTACCCCAATCTGATTCCAGTTTTAACTTCTGCTCATGACCTATTAATATTGTACGGTTAGTGATATAACTGGAGACGAACCTGAAACGAACATAGAATGTCAAGTTACTAAGCCACTTTTTTATCAAGGACCAGTCTTTTCTTAAAGCTGCCAAAGCTCTTGAAGATTTCTTCAGGTAGGTCTTTCCATTTGATGGTGTCTCCTCTGGGGAATGCCTGCATTCACCTTCTGCCCAGTTATGCTCACCACAAACATGATGTAGTACCCCAAACCAAACTTCCTGCAAGTGGATGATTCAAAATAGTCTAACCTGCCACTCAGTAGACACAAAAAGTATGCAGTATTGTTGATTTGGAGGTTCCAAACATTCCCATGACTTGTGTAATTGAAAAGTACATCTGGCTGGGAAACACTTGTAAAAATGTTGTCACATTTGAATCCTTTATATTAAGCATTACCAAAGAAGAGGACACTACATACACACTGCCTAGGGAGGACTCAGCAAGTGTAATCAATTGTAGTGAAAGGAGTGTTAATGTCTATAACTATAAAGTTTTTGATTGAGGAGTACATCAAAAATCTCTATTGTTTTACCTTTAGCTCACGGACACGTCCTTCACAGTTTTGGCAGCAAAACCAAAAATGACTTACAACATCATCAATCCACTCTTTAAGTGATTCATATCCTTTAACTCGAGCAGCCTGCGACAAAAACGAAGTAAATTATCTGAAAGGAATCATTATTTGCTTCCAATTTAATCACAAAATGCTCTTGAATTCTTTTTTATTTTGCCCCTAAAATCGTTTTTCTGGGAATTCAGCCATACTGATCTTCTATAAATAATATGTGATAAGTGTTTATTAGTCAGAGAAATGCATCATCATCCATCATCACTTTTTAATAAGAAAATGAAATGGCCACCTACTTGGTGAATACACTTGCTAAGTTTCTTAGCCTTATGCCAAATGTCAAGTGAGTGGAACAACTCTAGTTGTGGAAATTTATCTGTCAAGAAATAAAAGAATATACAAGCAGCATTACAGTCCCTGACATAAATTAAACCCCAGCCACACATATAGCTCTATCAGACATTAATTTTTATGTCCTTGTAAAAATGAAAACTGCGGGTAATGATTCTTCTAGACAGAAAGTTCAGATATATCACATCTGACGTGTGTCTACTTTAATTAAAATTTCAAGCATTAACTTCATTTGAATCCAGCATTTGTTATTACACATTCTGCAATAATCAAGTTTACCAACAGAATTTGCTGGTAAAGATAAAGTGATCACTTGCCTACAAGTGCATTTCTTCTTAAACTACACTAAAAATATTCCTCAGATAAATCCCTAACCAACGTATTTTTCATTTCGCGCACCAATTTTACGATAGAGGATGAAGCATCTGTCGTTATTTCACTAAAAGGAAGAACAGTGGCCATTTTTTCCAAGAGTCGTCGAACACCCTCCTTTTCCATAGTGACAGAGTTGCCACCAGTTTCTCTCTTGTCAACAACAGCCATGTCAACCACAACTTTAGTGGCATGTTCCATCAAGGTATAGACACAATACCTTGCAGAATGACCAAGTGAATCATTTCTGCCATTTCTGCACAAACATATCTCTTCATACTGCTTAAGTACGTCGACTATCAAGGCATTCATTTTGTTCCAAACATCACTAATAACAGGAGCAGCACATTATACTTCTGAAAACGTGTGAATGTATTGCTGCTAATGATGCTCAGTCCTAGGGCCTTGCACAGTAGAGCAAATTTGCTATAATTGTTACCAGAAATTATGATTGCTGCAGCCAACAAATTATCATTAAGATAAAAATCTGAATTGTGCTTTGCTCCCAGGACCTCTGATGAAATCCATTTTTGGCTGTGCCCATTTCTACATTTCCCTGTGATCTCAACATGTATTCCAATGGAAGTTACATCTTGTGTTACACAGAGAACTTCTCCACAAACTTTCCCTCCACTAATGAAAGCACATGTGTCTGTGGGTAGTTCAACCAACTTATTGATGGAAACAATCACCCTCATACACGAGTGTAAAGCAAGGTATGCCTTGAGGTCTTTCACATCAGTCAACTGAGAAAATGCTTGTTCTAGCTTTTTGAAGGTTTTCTCTTTGTTTTTCTCTACTGACTTTGAGCCTTTAACCACCTGCTCCTCTGGCTGTGGACCAGGCTCATCACCAGCTACACATTCATCCTCATTGGATTGGCTACTGACAAAACTGTCACCATATAGAGGATCAATCATTGTCAGTGTCTTCTCATCTTTCTCAGAGCTGATGTCCATACTGTAAATAAGCATGATCAAATAAATATTTTATTCATGAAAATAAATTCACTGAAATAATAATAATAATAATAAACATCTGACAATGATGGTGGTTCATTTTAACATGAAGTGCTTATAAGAATTTCGTGTGTAATAATTATGACAAGATAATAACTGTCTGTACAGTTGTGCATAGTCTGTTCACAAGAGTTATTTGTTCCAGTTTATACCTATGACATAACCAAACATCACATATCTAGCCTCATTAAAATGTTGAGTATCATCAGTAGTCTCATAAGGTTCATTTTCACCTAAATTCCACTCGCCAAACTCACTATGTTCTTCCACAACCTCTTCACTGGACATGTCTGACTCCTGTGGAGTTCTTCCAAAATGACACTCATGCTATATGTACAGAATGTAAAGATTCATAAGTTTGAGTATTTTGGGAGTGTCTCCAAAATTCAGCACATAATTCCCAAATTTGAGGATCATAACTCTTATTTGCACATGGTTTTGCTCGAGGAGCATTTGTTTGAGCTCATCCCCCTCCCCTGTCCAGCCACACACAAACATATTTTTAGGCTCTTTCGTCAACATACAACTCTTACTGCAGCATGCTCATGAGAGGTCAACAAGTCCCAGATGTACACAGGTATACACAGGGTATACAGTATAGCCACATGTGAGCATACCTTTGTTCCAGCTCTAGATATTGGTGGTTGTCRAAGGCTGAGATGCCAAGGACACTTTCAGCTGCTTCACTTGCATATTGTCACTGTCTGCACTATCATTTTGATCAGGACTAAGAACAGAATATGGATTCCCTGCCAAACTGTTATTGGTTTGTGCAAACACCTCCAACCTTGATTTCTCTGGATCTCCAGTGATATCAACAAAACTTGAATACAATAAAACAATCAAGTGTAAATACTTGCAGCCATCTAAAAAATAGTTATCACACATGTTGGTCCCGTTTTTTGTATGCACTAATTTCTGGAATCAACCACCAAAAAGGTCCATGAAAAAAAGAGTCACAACCAATATAAACTGTACACAAATCACGTTTTGTTTGAATCACATATCACAGTATCTCTAATAATTAACGTAGCAAAAGTTATTCGGCACAAAAACTCAGTAGAAAATATTATATATATATATATATATATATACATTTCAAAAACCCTGTGCTAAATTCTTTTAATAACTGCCATTTTTCAAAAATAGTACCTGTCAGAGACTGTACTTGACGTTCCAATCTGTTTTGAAGGGGAGGCAAAACTGAGCACTGAGGGCCGTCTGCACGAACTGGAGTGGACATAGCTGGGAGGCTACTCAGCTATAGTCATTCACAGACACTATCAAAAAGAAAAACATAGATTTGGTGAAGAACACAGTAAACACTTTCGCAGCTAG